ACCTTAAAGTTCGAGCTACAATGTGTACAGTATTATAATCACCACCAATAAAGAAATGATAATACATTTTTAGTATTTCATCATGGCCCTTAATCAAGTACCTAGTTTTTTCATAATTCATAGCACTCCTAATCTAAACCAAAATTATATGAAACATGTTATGTTTGCAAGATATCATGATTGTCTCTTGATGTTTGCGGATATTTTATATGACAAACCTGCAAGGACGGGGCAAACCACTGCCCAAGCTTTGACAGGACCGAGGCTCAGGTATTGTCCCAGAGCCAGTTCAAGATAAAAGAGTGGAATGCCACAGGTTATCAGGGTCAGGAAATATGGAATTAAGAAAGAGGCTGTGGAGGAAAAAACAGAAAGGATAAGTGGAGCTTATGTTTTAAATTATTGGTTGGTGTTAATCGTTTTATTAGATCCAGACTGATGAATTGAAATCATAAATGCTGAGTTAACAATCGAAAGGTGAGTTCACATCACATGGAGCACGTCATTGTCACTGTTAATATAACCAAGTCAAATTTACAATCTCTTTGATTAAGTCTGTCCATAGACCCTTTATTTCATCTTGAGTCCGTCGAGATCGCAAACCTAGCTAAATATTAACCCGGCACGTGGGAAGTGAACGAGCCAAAACGCGAGGGGGATGGGGAGGGGAGCTGATTTGGGCTCTTGCCAAGAAAATTAAAAACAAAGTTTCGCCTACTACTACACACTAAGCCGGAGAAATTTGAAAATGTAGCTTTAATTCTACGGTAGGCCTACCGTCCACACTAATCCGTCACGAAAACGTAGCTTTTCAAAAACGCTGTTCAAACCCGAGGAATTTGATAACGCAGGCTTTGCATTTAGTGTGAACGGAAAACATATTGAAAACGAAGCTTTTCGAAAACGATGACGCCACGATAATCATGGTATTTCCCTGCCGAGACTTCCTCAAATCCAAATCCAAATGATCGTAGCCTGCTCTCGGTCATGAGTGCAGACGACGAAAAAGCGGGCGCGCGACGAGTGGGGTCTGCAACCGTCCCCACTGACCGAGAGCCTGGAACAGGCTAAAATGACCATTGATTGTTGCGTTTTCAAATTTCTCCCGTCTAGTGTGGACGGGAAACATTTGATGTGTTTTCAGGGTGATAATGCCGTTTTCAAATTTCTCCGGCGAAGTGTTGATGGGGACTTAATGAGCAAAGCCTCATTCCCCGAAGAAAAAAAAGCGCGCGTTAATATTTTAACCAAGGACAACCGCGCTCTTCGCGCTCCAGTAAATAATTATATTGGCAATATGACAGACCTAAAATATTTCATGAATTGTAAGTAAAAGTCCCGAGAACGATAAGAATTATGCGCGATGCTTGCTCTTTAGTTCTAAACACTTCTCTCTCGCGTTTGCCTTCCGTTGGTTGTTTTTCCTTAACAAACGCAGTTGCCGAAGTTGTTTCTGTTTTAATTTGATGAGTTTTGTTTTGTGCTCGTTTCCTACGAGAGGTTTACTCGCGTTTGTCGCTGTTTTCGACATCTTCCCATCGTATGTTCCCAAGTACTTGCGGGCGATGACATATTAGTCAATGCTCATCATTGTTCGGTTACTTTTCGCATACGCCTTTGTTGGGATGTTTTTCATTGCTTGCCTCCTAGTGAATATCTTTTGTACTTAAGTTTCAAATACATNTGCTCATCATTGTTCGGTTACTTTTCGCATACGCCTTTGTTGGGATGTTTTTCATTGCTTGCCTCCTAGTGAATATCTTTTGTACTTAAGTTTCAAATACATCTTTTTTTTGCGTGAGTAACCGTTACCGCTAGCTAGTTAGATGTTCAAGCCATGCGTGGTCCGTTTGGATATCTTCTCGCGCTTGTCACTGCCGGTTCAATGCTTTTCCTCGCTTGCCACCCATTAGTATTTTGAAACGTACCACGCCTCCCAGCGTTTGGAGCAGTGTTCATGTTTTCCAACACTTACTACTTTTTGGTCATTTTTTCGCGCTTTCCACCGCGCTTGCTAATGTTTGGACACTTTTTACGCTCGCTACGTTTCTGATGTTTTCGCACCCTTGCTACACTGTGGACGTCTTCTCGCGCTTTCTGTTGTTTGAACGTTTTTCACCGCTTGCTACGGTTTGGGCGTTTTCCACGCTCACTACTTTTCTACGTTTTCGCACTCGTGCTTCATTCTGGACGTCTCCTGCCGTTTTCTGTCGTTTGAAGTGTTTGGACATTTTCTACGCTCACTACTTTTGTATGTTTTCGCACTCGTGCTTCATTCTGGACGTCTCCTGCCGCTTTCTGTCGCTTGAACGTTTTTCCACGTTTGCTAGTGTTTGGACATTTGCCACGCTAACTACATTTCTACGTTTTCGCACTCTTGCTTCATTCTGGACGTCTCCTCGCGCTTTCTGTTGTTTGAACGCTTCCGCGCTTGCTAGTGTTTGGACATTTTCCACGCTAACTACTTTTCTACTTTTTCGCACTCGTGCTTCATTCTGGACGTCTCCTGCCACTTTCTGTCGTTTGAACGTTTTCCGCGTTTGCTAGTGTTTGGACGTTTTCCGCGCTCGCTACTTTTCTGATGTTTTCGNGCCTTTGTTGGGATGTTTTTCATTGCTTGCCTCCTAGCGAATGTCTTGTCATCTTTTGTACTTAAGTTTCAAATACATCTTTTTTTTTACGTGGGTAACCGTTACCGCTAGCTAGTTAGATGCTTAAGCCATGCGTGGTCCGTTTGGATATCTTCTCGCGCTTGTCACTGCCGGTTCAATGTTTTTCCTCGCTTGCCACTCATTAGTATTTCGAAACGTAACATGCCTCCCAGCGTTTGGAGCAGTGTTCATGATTTCTAACACTTGCTACTTTTTGGTCGTTTTTTCGCGCTTTCCACCACGCTTGCTAATGTTTGGACATTTTTTACGAACGCTACGTTTCTGATGTTTTCACACCCTTGCTCCACTGTGGACGTCTCCTTGCGCTTTCTGTCGTTTGAACGTTTTTCACCGCTTACTACGGTTTGGGCGTTTTCCACGCTCACTACTTTTCTACGTTTTCGCACTCGTTCTTCATTCTGGATGTCTCCTGCCGCTTTCTGTCGTTTGAACGTTTTTCCGCGCTTGCTAGTGTTTGGGCATTTTCCACGCTCACTACTTTTCTATGTTTTCGCACTCGTGCTTCATTCTGGACGTCTCTTGCCGCTTTCTGTCGTTTGAACGTTTTTCCGCGTTTGCTACTGTTTGGAAATTTGCCACGCTAACTACTTTTCTACGTTTTCCCACTCTTGCTTCATTCTGGACGTCTCCTCGCGCTTTCTGTCGTTTGAACGTTTTTCCGCGCTTGCTAGTGTTTGGACATTTTCCACGCTCACTACTTTTCTAAGTTTTGGCACTCGTGCTTCATTCTGGACGTCTTCTGCCACTTTCTGACGTTTGAACGTTTTCCGCGTTTGCTAGTGTTTGGACGTTTTCCGCGCTCGCTACTTTTCTGATGTTTTCGCACCCTTGCTACATTATGGATCTCGATCTCTTCGCGCTTGCTGCCGTTAGGACGTTTTCCCGCGCTTGCTTTTCAGTTTGGAAGCTTACCTGTTTTTGTTATTGTTTGATGTTTTTCATGCTTTCTACTGCTCTAAAGTTTTCGCGCGCTTGCTACATCTCTGAAAGTTTCCTCGCGCTTGTGGCCGCTTGAAAGTTCCCGCATTTGCTATTGCTCTGAAGTTCTCGAACGCCTGCTGCAGTTCTGGATGTTCGCATTTGCTTCGCGGCTGTTTGAAAGTTTTGAACGCTTGCCGCGTGGATGTTTGGCGGCGTTAGTTACTTTTCTGAAGTTTTCGTGCGCTTGCTCCATTTTAGTCGTTTCCTCGCGCTTGCGGTCGTTTTGAACGTTTTTCCGCGAAAATCATGTTTTTGTAAAATTTTAAAGTACTTTCCATCACCCGCGACTTCTAAAGTAAGAAACGCATATTATTTATAATAGGCTAGGTTACCTCCGCCATGTTTATAGCATAGATAAGGAAATCGCCAAATATTGCCGAGGCCCACAGCATATCCTATACAAGAGAGAAGAAACTCGGCTTTCTTATGCCACTTCTCGCGTTCCTCGCTCGTGTTGGATGTATCAGCTGCCTCAGCTGTCTCAGTTGTCTCAGGTATCGTTACAGTAACGGGGTGAACTTTGTTTTTCGACATCTTTAAGTCTCAAGCTTTGTTTTACATCTGAAGACAAAACGCTCCGGGATGTGATTTCAACAAAGTGACTTCTGTAAATGACATCATAAAGGGTAATGACATAACTAGCTTCTGACGTCACAACAATTAACTAATTAGTGTAACCCTAGAACGAGAAAATAATTAATTTAATGCTCAGCCCGGTAAACTTCCGAGCATCACGTATAAATATTGTCATTTGTAATAAAATTTTTTTCCGCCTGAAACCCCATGCAAGGGGATACACCGCAAGAGACCTGCACGACCTGGGCAATAAGATTCAATTAACTAATTAGTGTAACCCTAGAACGAGAAAATAATTAATTTATTGCTTAGCTCGGTAAACTTCCGAGCATCACGGATAAATATTGTCATTTGTAATAAAATTATTGTCCGCCTAAAACCCCATTCAAGGGGATACACGGCAAGAAACCTGCACGACCTGGGCAATAAGATATTTTTTTCAATTTTCAGAATAAAATAATCAAATAAGCAAGAAGATACAAATTTAGTAAAGCGTCATCGTGCAACGACGTTTAAAAAGATCAATATAATAAAAATACATTCAACTAAAAGTATTATTTATTAATAAAAAAAATTGTAAATAAATAAATAAAATGATCTAAAATCAATTAATAACTTTGATCGAGTCTTCTATGTAGTCCCCTCTGGTTCTTTCCGTTGTAGCAAAAACTGTGCTACTTTTCCGTTGTGGCAAAAACTGTGCTACTTGTCCCTACATTCCTCTCGGACTTACTACATATACCTTCTTTTCTACCGGGGAAACGCGCCCCGTAAAATCTAACCTGACCTGTGACACTAAAAACCTCATCTACATGATTCAATGTAACCACTGTAATTTACAATACATAGGAGAGACGAAACGAC